CTGGTCAGGTACTAAGGTGCGACGTCATCGTTGACAAGATACATCGTCTAGAGATTGTTACGACCACCCGCGAGCTCTTCTTGGAAGATGCTCCAGAGCTTTTTGAGCTTAGAGCATTCAATGATCAAGGTATAGCTTTTAACAGAATTGTGTTGAAGTGTGACTTCACTATCGTCAGACCACAATTAGTGTAAATGCGCTGCAACTATAGCTTTCATTGTAGTTGAGTTGTAGAACAGAGTACAACATTCTTCTGTCTAGTCATTCAAAGTCCTGATTGAATAGGGTAATACTGGAGGTAGATAGATATATGCAGATGAAAGGCAATATATGATGTGTTATCTGTTATTAGTGTTCAAGTTGTTCACGTATTTATGTACAATCTTTTTCAGATGATACTTTCTCAAGCCTGGAGGGTTTGGCTTTTCAGTGGAACTTGATTTCAAACACGGATTCAGGCCAAGATAATTATGTGGATGCAAACAGTGTACTCAGGTGTGTTGAAAGCATCAGCATAAAGAAGTTACTTACATTCATTTCTTTTAATAGAATGTAGAATTGCCGAAAGAGTTGTCATGCTTTCATTACGTATATGTTAAAAAAGCCTTAGAACAAAATAATGTTTGTAGGTGTATACACCATGTAAGCAAAATGTGTTCATTCCTAATACTCTTAACAATAAAATAACTTATCTACTTAATTTTGCTTTACAAAAAGTTATTCTTATACCATAGGGTCCTTACCTTTGAAGAATCACCCTATGAAACACCACATTATATCGATATGCTGGAACGCCAGGGCTTGCAAGGGCACATGTGTCTGGTAGAAGGGATTAAAACTGGTTCTGCCAAAGTGACAGTCAAGCTGAGACATCCAGCCTATAAGGTATGATCATACAGTACATTACATTTAAAGGCTATGGGAATTATAAATTTATAAGTCTTGTGAGACACATCCCACTCATGAATGTTGAAGTTAGTCTGCAGGTTGGATCATTTAAATTCACATCTAACATATATTCTTTTTGTTTATCATGTATATTTAGATACATTTCTCACACAAATGTGTTACGATAGGAAGCGCTGTAAGGGAGTGTTACTTAAACTTGTGAATGGTTCACCCACGGGTGAATGAAATTATTTTGGGGTGAATGCAACTTGCCAAAAACATAAGGGAATTTAGTCGCGGGTGAATGAAATTTTGCGACGAAGACTCGAGGTGGAATGACGCTGAAATAGTTTTTAGTAGCACTGCTGTGAGGGATAGTGCGCCTGCACCCCTTATGTTTTTGGTAAGTTTCAGTCACCCTTGGGTGAACCATTCATCTCTGTAACGCTTGGGACACACTAGTCAATTATTCAGGCGATTGAGTCGGGCGATTGAGTCAGACGACTAAGTGGACACACATTTCATCGGTGATTTTTCTCACCCTGCAACACTAAAACACTCGCGCCACCTACATTGATAGTCACATGATTGATAATGGCACCATTTGCTTGGCTTATGAATTGTACATTCAGGTGACTCATTCGCCGACCCGGACACACTAGGCGATTGTAGTCGCACGACTCAAATAATCACCCGATTTTATCAAACATGTTGTCGGACTCGCCGGCGACTCACTGGACACACTAGTAGGCGATTTTCACCGGCGATTGAGTCGGGCGACTCAATCGCCGCTGAAAATCGCCTAGTGTGTCCGGGGCTTAACACTGCTGTGAGTGACAGTGAGCGTGCACCCACCACCGTGCGTGTTGTTTCTCGGCAGGCTGTGAACGCGAGCACGGTCGCGCTGATCGTCGTCGCTAACCTGATGCTGAACCCGGCGCACGACGTCTACCTGCTCCAGCACACGTCCGTCGCCTACAGGGTCGAGCTCATCAAGCAGGGACGAGCTCACGGTGAGAGAAGCGCCGGCGATGGCGCATCCCAGGGGTAGAAATTAACTTTTGAACACGGGAGTCCAACGGACTCCCTACCCTCAAAAAGAGGGAGTCCGCAGTCTGAGGTTCAAAATTAAAGATATTAACAATAACGCATGTGCTTATTTTTAAGATTCGTGCAGTTGCACGTCTGCCAAATTTTCTTTGAACATTAGCTGAAAAAATACGGTAATTCCGCAAGGCCGTGCTCCGGAACGAACTAGTTAGTATATGGCAGAATTTTCATGGAGTCGCACAGACTCCTGCATGTGTCAAATCAGGGAGTTCGACAGTAAATCAGGGAGTATTTGACTCCGGACTCCCGTTAATTTCGCACCCTGGCATCTGCACGTCGCGAGGGAGCGGGTTTGCACGTCTCGAGGGCACATCACACGTCGCGTCTGCACGTCGCGTCACGAGCAGTTTACAGAGAGAGAGAGCAGCTGGCATGTATGTGTGTATGTCGTATCAGTTCCAAACCGTGTCCCGTTGGAAGGAAATCGTGTGCGTTTCACGAAAGTTTTTTAACCTGGTTATCTACCGTTCGCAGAAATCAGCATGCCGTCTCAGCAGTATTACCTGGAGTTGACTGACACCAGCATTGGCAGTCTGGAAGTTGATACGTCGACGGTGACGGGATTGAAATACGGAAATACCGAGATTGTTCTGAAAGACAGAAGTATCCTTTATATTCATTAGATTCCTGAGCCACTGATCAGTGTGATGAGTATAGGATCAGAATTGTTGTATTAGACGTATAATGAGTAAGTTGTGCATTGGATTTTTATTCGGGGGTTTCACTCCAGGGCTTTTGAACCGCATTGGCGCACGCAATATTGTGGGCACGTTTTCCCATCTGCCTTTCTTAAGAGGGCCTATCCAACGTCGACTGTGCGTGAGCTTAGAGACTTGTTAGGATACACTCCTCAACTGTCGACCTCAGATATAAATATAAAAGAGCTCATCCACCACCCAACTGGACACATCTACGTAGTCACACCTGGATACCTGGGTAGGTTGTACGTCGAGCGATGCAGTGGACCTACAGTAGTCATTTTTGTAATTCACGCATTGCTCTCAGTGTGTTTAAACAGTTTTACCAGAATTAATCTGTGTGCAGTTGTTTATTGCATGACTTACCAGCTTTAAACATGTGTTTAGGTCTGTCTACAGGTATGTTATGTCTTGTGTAAATCTATTACAGGATTCGTGGTCCTACCAGGAAGGGTGTGGGTTCTACAAACTGACCGTGTCTATGATATAATGATAGAAATCTACGACAGGGAGAGCCACAGAATACACCCTTCTGATGTAATGACTTATTTTTTTGGAATTTCTTGGCTTGTTTGCGTGCGTGCGTGCGTGCGTGCGTGCGTGCGTGCGTGCGTGCGTGCGCGTGCCAATGTGCGTGCGTGCGGTGGGCGGATGCGATTGTAAGTAGGGGCATGCGTGTGTGTGAGTAAATATATGCATGCATTTAGGTGGGTCTAAATCTGGGCATTCTTGTTACAAAAAGGCTTTCACGTGTAAAGTGTACTGCCAAAAATTAAACGTGTAACATAAATGCGTCAAATTCCACCTGTATTTTGACCTGATTTAACCAAACTGGGCTCTGCTTTCCTAGTATAGACATGGGAGTAGTAAATGCAACTCCTTCCATAGCAGATCTCCTTTGCTGGAGACAGATTTCGAGCCACAAATAACACTGCGTTGCTCATTGCATGTTCGCAGAATCTCCGTGTCGTTGCTACGTTCTCGGAGAAGTACTTTGAGGTGCTGTACTCGTCGGAGAACGGCACGTATCACAGGGTTCACACCCGTCAGACCGGCACTACCAGCATTCATGGCTTACTCGATGCCGTCGTCGCCACGGTAACCTCGCTCTTCTCATACGTTTCGTGCGCCATGTTCATATGCTGTAATGTTCGACGGTGGTGCTGGAATTACTATTCGCGAGTGTTTAGTGTATGATGGAAAATAATTTGTTAGGAAATTTCGTTTATAAGTCAACCGCCCAGTGCATGGAATTTGCGGATATTGTCAAGTATTGGTGTTAGCGGCATTAGAGTCGTTATGTTGAGTCTTCAAGTTACGGTTGTAATTGGTTCCGAAATTTTGTTCATAATTCGACCATTTGGAACTAGAGTTACGTGTGTACTTCTGTGGTCGTTGTCGTATGTATCAAAGTAAATAATTGAGCATCGTACTTGCGTGGTGTTCCAGCCAAGCCTTAGCTAAGTGCAGTTGTTGGCAACTCGCCTGTCCACTTAGAGGCAGTGTTGGGTTTAGTAGAGAGAACATGTGTAACCATGTAGTCTGTCACAACCTTCATCGCACTTGCATAAGAATTGCACGTTGAACGCTCTTGCCCACCATGGTGTGATAAAAATCAACCATATTGACAATGAGTTGTGATGAATCTGGTTTAACTTCTTATTATCAGGATGGAAAAGAAATAAAATTAAAGCCTCCAATGAAGGCAGCACAGGAGGTGGAGATATTCGACCCTATCGTGGTGACCCCGCCACAGCTGGTGTTTCCGTGGGAACCGGTCAACAAAGGCAGCTACCATTACACCCTCAAGGTAATCAGGGTGACTATTTATGACCAACCTGCGAACCTGACGAAGCTACTGGTACGATTCCGACGTCTCAGTGACGGAAGTATCTCTGCAGGTTTTTCCTAATGACATTTGCTCTCTCGTTTCCGCTTAGGCGTCTGGAGGAAGCGGCAACTTCAGCTGGTCCTCGTCGGACACGGGCGTGGCCAGAGTTAACGTGAAGGGTGAGATGGTGACCCTGGGAGCCGGGCGCACGACCGTGTTGGCCGCAGACGTCCGAAACCCAGCGCACACTGGTCAGGGCGAGGTAAATCTGCTTGTGCGCATACGTGCATGTGTGTGTGTGTGTGTGTGTGTGTGTGTGTGTGTGTGTCAATTGTACAGTAAACTGGAAGTAGGATTCTGACATTCAAGAGGAACGTTCTCGAGGTATTCTGCTTTAGGGATTTATGCAAACTTTTTTTTACACAGTTTATGCACAGTTACTTAGGCACAATAGCTGAACGAGTTTTGGTAGTCCTTAAGGGAAATACCTCAAATGTAGTCGTGATTGTTTGGCGCAGATCCTGTTGACAAGATTTCAATCGGCTACGAATAATTACTATAAGATTAATCCCTGAAAGCGTAAGAAAGACGATAGATGTATAAATGAATAGCAGCGACGAACAATGAATAGACGAGAGACAAGAAAGACGAGAAAACAAATGAATAGACAACAAAATGGAGTCGAGTTGCCAGCTGAAAGGAAGGACTCGACCCTTACCTTGCTTTATTCGCAGGTCTATGTTCTGCCGCCGACGGAGATGCGATTTCTGCCGAGCGTTGTTGAGGTGGAGATCGGATCGGTGCTACACCTGCCTCTCGCCATGTCTGCTGAGTACACCCTCGGTATGTGTCGCGGCTCTCGCGCCCTAGAGAATACGCTGAATAGCCGACGAGCACATGAATTCATTTTTTTCTGTCAAGAGAGAAATCACTTTCGGGAGTGTTCGGCTCGGAAAATGCAGTGACTTTGCATCGGTTGCGATGGTAACTTTTTCTAATTCTAATTGGTGGTATTATACGGCTTGTATGTATCGGCATGTCATTATATTCAGATGGGGAGAAGCGGCGGGTCACCTTCAATGATTGCAGCATGGTGCCATTTAAAGTGACCATTGGGCTTAATACCGTGTTTGAACAGACAAAAGGTAGGTTATATATATAGATAATATAATGTGCGTGCATACGTGCGTGAGTGCGTGTATGGATGAATGTATTGTATTTACAATAATATATCGCTTTTTTGATTTGTTGATTCACTGATTTGTTTGCACTGTTTGTAATGAACGCATATGCGCGAATACTTTTACGTCATTCGACTCAAATGAGCAGCACAGGTTGGTGCTGCAATGTAGAATAGGTGAATTCAACAAGCACTTTATATTACGTAGGTTGCACATTTAATATTTCTTCTCCGCAGCCGACAAAACTGCTGCTAAACTGGCCGGCAGCTGCGTGGTGATACCAGTGAAGGGCTTACAGCTGGGAAGCACAGATGTGACTGTGCAGTATCATTACGGCACAGTGAAGCTCGAGGCAGTAGCTACCGTGGCAGCGTACAAACCCCTTGTGGTAAATATTTAAGGCTATCACAGCATATATATATATCATTGCTGTCATCTTTCATAATATGTTACTGCGACTAGCAGCATACAAACCATTTGTTGTAGATATCTCGTGGTATCAGAATATATCATATTATTATAGCTGTCATTCGTCACAATATACATTACCGAGAGCAGCAGCTCACAAATTTGTCGTGGTTATATATCTCGTGCTGTGTCTATGTACCGTAGTTATGTCCCATCAGAGTGTATGCTACCTGGACTGTAGAAATCACCCACGTAGGTTTCTCATGTCACCAGAATGTATCTTGGCAATTTCTTATAAGTATATATGCTACTTTGAGTGTAGCAACACAGAACCCTCTTGTGGTAATGCATCTCATGCACTGACTCGATATCTAAATATATAGAAAGTATGAATTTTATTTAAGTCAGTTGATTTTAAATTAGGTTAAGATGCATCTAGATTGTGAGATGGAAAGTATCTATTCCTGAAGTCAAATATGTATATTTATCACAATGTTATCTCACACGATTTTCAGAACTCATGGATGAATGGGAAGGTCCTTACCATAGATAGATGGAGAAGGGTTGTACCAGTTGGGGTCAATTACACATGTCATAAGCAGCCCCAATATTTAATTAAATAGATCAGCTTGGAACGTATACGTCAACCTGTCAAAACAGCATGACTATGTTGGGATTGTTAAACGTAAACCCAGCTGGCAAATAAGGCACGTCAAAGGATTTATTGGATTTTGCAAATTAGCTTCAGCTTTGAATGCATGTTGGACCTGACATGCATTAAATGCCAAGAGAGAACCATGGTTGGTGGTATAGTCTGCGAAATGTAAATCTGAATCTGATTTAGCTCATTGCATCTTGTTTTAGCCGCTGGACCCAGAACAGGTGGCAGTAGTGGCCGTCGGCTCTTCGAAGCAGGTTGTGTTTGAGGGAGGACCACAGCCGTGGGTTCTTGACCCGGCAGGATTCTACCGACATCGTAAGCTTGATACATATAGTCGCTCTAGTAGCGTTACTGGTGATGATGATAGTGGTCGTTGTTGTTTGTAGTAGGAGTAGCAGTCATTATTAGCGTAAATGTGACATTGCAATGAACTTGGTGATGGCGAATTTAACCTTTTCTTATGTCGTTACAGTGATGATATATAAATGCGTATAGTCGAGACCCTTGGAAGGTTTATGATTATCGAAATTAATTACACTCTTCCTGGCAATTGATAGACAGTAGACAGGCTTATTTTCTGTTCCTGTGTTTTATATGGTTTGTTCGAAGATTTTTTTTGGAAAGGGATCTTGGAATGATCATTGGCAGCATATTGTACCCATGAGGTTAAAAAGGGTTAATAATGTAAAGATACGAGTTTTTGATTGTTTCGATTCGACGCTGTTCACACTGTTACATAAACTCATCTGCTTTCAGTGAAGCTTGAGGATGATTCATTTCTCAGCCCATCTCATACATACGGAGCCTACAGTAAGTTTCTATCTTGCTTGTTTGTCTGTGTTTCGTGTGACGATGATCCAGTTATAATTAAGACTGGTCCTTCCGTCAGTCGGCATGAAGCGACGTAGACTCGCTGTGAGATCGAAGGTGTGTTATGCAAAGTTAAATTGTCCAATAACAAGCCTTGTTCATTGCCAGAAAGTTGTTCTTACTTTGTCCTATATATATCCACAGTGTGAGCTATAAGTGAGCTAGCTTAGATTTATTGATTTTCTGGGATAGCACTAAAGTGTCTTGTGATAAGCTTGTAACTTTGATTGTGAGGATATTGTGTGTGCCTGTTTGCGCATCCATGCGTGCACGTGCATGTTAACGTGTGCGTGCGTGTTAAGGTGTGCGTGCGTGTGTGTGTATGTATGATTGCTGGTTTAGGATCTTGCCCGACAGCATAGCATTTTAATACTGGGTAGTAGTAGGAGCAATGATGGATTGCACGTATTGCGACCCTGTCTTGTGCAACCGCGTTGCATTAATGTGTCGTTGCGTGGACACGTTGCAGAGACGCTGCACCTGAGCTGGGTGTTGTGTACAGGACTCGGCGAACAGCAACTCACGGTGCTCGTCGGAAACGAGGCCACGTCCACAAACCCGAAGCCAGCCAAAGCCTCTGCAAGCATCAGGTATGCAAGCACGCTTTTGTTTCTTTATGTATCTGTGTTGGTTCCCATTGTGTTAGTTATATCTCATTAACATTGCTCATACTTTGGCGTTGTGTTCCTGGCTTCGAAGAGTAGGTTGTTTCCCCTGGATCGCAAACTAAAACTGGGTCGGGAAAGGTCTCTGCTGACTGACCCAAGTTTCCTTCATAGTTGGATAGTAGCAGCATTAAGAGGGTGTGCGAGCTACCCTGCTCTGCCACTAGATCAGAATCTAGGTCGTGTCACAGAGAATCAATAGACGTTGTGGGCTTTTTTGTTGGCAGGTTTATACTCACTCGCTAAATGCAGGCTCTCAGTGGCTGTCACATTTCCAATGCACACATGTTTCCCATGCTAACCCCATGCACTCGCATCTCTCTCTGGTTTCTCGCAGGTTTGCGTGTGCCCTGCCGGTGAGTCTACATCTGCTGCCGCTGGTGGCGCAGCCGGACCTCGAAATTCCTCCCTGTCCGATCACTCCAGACTCCGAGCTGCCAGTGAGTAGTGGTACACGGGTTACGCGAGGTCTTTCGTGCTTGAGGCTCAGTTGTGAGTCTTCTGGTTTGGTGTGTTGTACCGTACGGGTTGTTTAGTGTGTTATATTATATTTATTATATTAGTTTATGGTAATTATAGGTTTATAGGTATTAGGTTGTACTATGTGTGTCGTGGGTCATTTACTGTAATTCTGTTGTTGGCTCTGAAGTAGGCCATAGCGACGTCGGCATTCAGGAAATGATTGTGTGGCATTACCGCAATGGTAGTTGTAACAGAAACAAGATGCTAAAAGCGTGCATGGTAAAAGCATGCAGAACTGCATGGTAAAAGTAGCAACAGAAAGAGATAGTTGCGTGAATTGGCTACATTTTATTTTCATTGATGCACCTAACTGTTTGCCCGCAGATCCCGGCCCACTGCGATCGCAATGTCGACATCCTTGCCATCCTGAAGGATAACAACGGCAGACGCTTTGATAACTTCTCCTCGTTAGCGATTGAGTGGGAGATCAACGATCAGACGCTGGCGAGTCTATACAACACTCACGGTGTGCAGCGGGAAGAACAGGACGGACCAGCGTGGCACAGACATGCCAGAAGTGGGTGTTCGATTTATATGTATATATATATGTTCATATATACTGCCTGTGCGTGCTTGCATGTGCGGCCAAACCTGTGTTAGTAGATCCCTCTATAGAATGGACACCTTAAAAAGGGTCTATAAAGGACACGTGGCATTTGCCTTGAGTGACCCTTTATATACAAGTTTGAGTGCATATATAATGCATGAAGTTGTTTTGTCTGTGGCTAACACCGAAGTGTCAGCATTGATATTGATCTTGGAATAAGTTGGTTCGATTTCATGATGATATGAGAGTAAATTTATTTTATGGTAAATTCATTCATTTCACCTTGTTAGTATTAGTTTCGAGAACAGATGTAGCTGTTTTTGTCAAGCTATGTCAGATCTTGTTACCTGCTGCCATCTGGTGACAAGCACAAGCAACCTTGATCAGGTGGTCTAAGACAACTAGACCCATTGTTAAAACTGTTGCTAAAAGGATAAATACTTATATTTATGATAAAATAAATTACTTTTAAATTATTTGTGGTCCAGCATGGTGATTAGGTGAACAGATGAAGGGTAAAATAAGAAACTAAACTAGTGAAGAAAGCAATCTTCCGAGTTATTGCAGGGTTTCTTATACATAAGAGGCACAGTTGTGCACCGCCGTTGTCAAATTTAACGTCGCCGGTGTGAAAATGTCCCTGTATTTACCCGGCATTGTCAAAATATTGTCAACTCAAAAATAAATAGATCACCACCTGCTTCTGGCATATTTAGATAGCCATGTGCGTTTATTGAGTCCTGTGACATGGGTTCTACACTTTCCCGTTATTTGATTGGTTGGTCATGCGCGTTTTTCCCCAAACTGGCCATTACCTCCTTTGTCTAATTTTCCATCAGAAGAAACCCTGTATTGGTTAATGATTGCTTTGTGATTGAGTTGATGTTGTTCTGTTGCATAGGTCTGCAAACATTGCGACCAAAGAGCCTTGAAGGGTCGGTAATCGTCACTGCACGGGCAACTCACTACAATAACAATTACTTTTCATCTCAGAAGATTTCCCACGAGGTAACGTTATAATAACAGTTGTAGCCTGTTGTTGTTGAGATGTTACTTTATACTGTATACTACGCGTACCATTCGTGTAATGTGGGATGTAGGCATGGTAACGTTTTACAGTCTTTCTATATTTTTATGACCTGGTGAATCGTCCTTGATATCTTTATAGTACAGTAAAGAAATAAGGCAGTGGTCTTGATATAGACACGTAGGTGTAGGCAACTTGTTACAGGCATATAACTCGGTGTGAGCCCTAATATTTTGTTTGCTACAGGTTGATATAAAGCCCCCGATTAGTCGTTCTGTGGAGCTGCAGCTGGTAGAGGAGTGCTTTATCGAACCAGACGAGATCTCTATCTTTAACCATCCTTCGAACAAGGTGAGAGTCTGACTAATGAAGAAATGCGAGCAATGGTCATGCTGAATCTTGTTATGTGTACGGCAGGCATTTGGTGCGCAAGACCCCATTCTAACATTTGGTAGAAATATTAAGATTTTTCCGACTCGCAAGTCGGCATTTTCACGTTTAATCAAGAGAAAAGGTTTGCGGGTGTTTACCGATTCGTACGACTATTCTCCCTGCAGGTGGCGCTGTCTATTCAGAAGGGTTCCGGCTACTTCCACGTGGAGCCGCGCGAGAGTCGCGTCGCGCAGGTTGCCGTCGACAACCGCGTTGTCAGCGTTGCGCCGGCGCACGACGGAGCGCTGTCGCTCACCGCGTATGACCTGTGTCTGTTTGCCGCCGACCCGGCCAGGGCGCAGGTGCAGGTGTCCGGCGTCGATTCCATCGACCTGAGGGTCGTCGACAAGGTGAGCCTAGACAACAGAAGAACGACTGCGGTGTCCTCTGTCCACTGCAGCGGTTCTTAGTCTTAGTTTTTTTTTTTAGTCGTGGCTGAGATTCTTGGTGCTGGACGCTTGCTTGCCGGCCCCTTGCTATAGTATAGTATGCTATAGTACCTCCAGTACTGCGTGAGCGAATACTGGAATCGATCCTTGAACTTTTTATTTTCTGTCCTCAATAGTAGTTCTTTGGTCATGCACACAAGGACGATTTCTGGTTACGCAACAGTTGAACGACTTATAAAATTGTCTGTATGCACTGGGCTGTAATGTTTTTTGTCTGCCACTAAATTTCTGGGCCTTAGGTGCTAGCTTAGCACTCGCTTGGTGTCGGCTTTATCGGACTATAAACAATAGTTCAGGGAGCCACTGGTATCATTTGGTAGCACACTCACAATTGCCTGACACCCTGCTTTCATGTTGTGTTTATGTGTTAAGAGCCACTGGTCTGTTCTAACATACTACTACGTGTTTGTAAAACGTTTACCTACCCCCGTTACTTCATTTTATTGCTGCTAGGTGGAGCTGCGTGACGAAGTGCGGGCATCTGTGAGGGTGCTGGATTCGACGGGCAAGCCACTCTCGGCACAGTTCTTCACACTTATGAACCTGAAAATTGAATCTGGATCTGAGATCATCAGTGTCAAGTATGACGCTTGCTAATTAATGACTTTGATTATATTTATTCATTTGATGTAATTTCATCAAACCCGATATTATAACCCTTTCATTGCGGTTGATTTGTATTTTATGTCATTTGTATTTGCAATACTGAATGCCAAATATGGTTCATTATTAATGTTAATAGTAAAGTAATATGTTGCAATATTAATAGTCTCCATCTGCTGATGAAAATAGCACTGCCTCTTGCCATACTGGTTTTGTTTATACTTTATTTAATATTTTATTTACGTATCATAATTACGACATAGCATGTTAATTATTATTAATATGTGTTTTGAGAGAAGGTAAACTTGCATTACAGGGGGAATATATCCAACTGCATCTTATCACTCTAAGTATAGTACTGGGGCTAATTGTCAGAAACATAATTAGTTATAACCATCATGAATCCAAAATGTCATAACTTTTGCATGACACTACTTCAAAATTTATGACATTCTAGACTTAAGGTGCCTATAGTTTCAATATAGTATGGTATGATATGGTATGGAATGGTATTGTATTGGTATGGTATAGTATAGCTTAGTATAGTTGGGTATAATATAGTATTATATAGTATAGTATAATATGGTAGTAGCTGAAAGTAATACAGAAGTACACAGCCGCAGCTGTTCGCTTGACGCAGTCCCGCTGTCTCTCCCCATGCAGGCCCGATCCATCAACGAACAAGGATCCGAATCGATTGAACTACATCGTGCGAGGCGTGAGTCTCGGCCACACCACGCTGCGCGCACACGCAACGCTGCAGAACAAGCAGAAGATCTCTAGTCAGGCAAAACCGATCCAGGTGTTCCCGCCGCTGAGGCTGGAGCCTAGGAACATCACGCTGGTGCTGGGCGCCCTCTTTCAGGTAAATGTAGTACTATTGTACTGATAAAAGTGCTGTCGGTGTGTGTCATAGATTACTCTTTCAGGCAGTGATTGTACAGTGATGTATCTCCATCATACATTACTCTTTAGGCAGTGACTGTACAGTGATGTATCTCCATCATACATTACTCTTTAGGCAGTGACTGTACAGTGATGTATCTCCATCATACATTACTCTTTAGAGTGAGTGGGTAAGGTGAGGTGAGTGGTGGGCAGGCTGGGATGGTGGTGGGTGGTTGCGGGTGTCTAGGTGGGTGAGGTGGGGTAGGTGGGTCGATGTGTGGGCAGGGCTCTGGAATTGTGGTGGGCTGTTGGGTTGTCTTAGGTGGGTGAGTGCGGTAGGTGGTTGTGAGTGTGGGTCAGGGCTGGATGGTGGTGGGGGGTGCGTTCGTGCAGGTGGCGTAGCGTGCGTGGTGCGCTGGCAGGGGCTTGGATGGTGGGTGGGTGAGTGAGGAGGTGGGTGAGTGGTGGCAGGGCTGGATGTGGTGGTGGTGGTTGGGGTGTCTAAGGCTGGTGTGATGCGGTATGGTGGTGGAGTGGTGTGCAGCGGCTGGATGGTGGTGGGTGCGTTGGTTGTCTAGTCGTGGCGTGAGCTGTGCCACGTAGCGTGGGTGTAGTGGTGCGGCAGGCTGGACTGTTGCGTCGCCGGTGGGTGGGTGAGTGGCGGTATGGTAGTTCGCTGAGTGAGTGGCACGGCCTTGGCATCGGCTGGTGGCGTGAGTGCGGTAGTGTGGTCCGTGAGTGCGTGGGCCAGGGCTGGTGCATGGTGCGTGGGTGGTGTAAGGTGCTACTGCTGTCGCGACATTGAAGGTGTGTGAGTGGTCTAGGCGCAGGGCTGCGATGGCTTTGGTGAAGGTGGCCGTGGGTGTCTAGCGTGGGTGGAGTGGCGTAGCGTGGTGTGATAGGTGCGGAGTGGGTGCTGGACAAGTGCTGCGCGGGTTAGGTAGTTCTAGGTGGCCGTGAGTGGGTAGGTGGGTGCAGTGGTGGGTGGGGCTGGCACAGTGGGGGTTGCGGTTGGTAGTCTAGGTGCGGGTTAGTGGGTAGGGTGGATGAGTGGCTTGAGGCGGCCCCGCGTGGCATGGCTAGCGGTGAGTAGGTGGAGCGGTTGGTTAGGATGGGTGGGGTAGGTGAGCGTAGATGCGGTGGCTGCAGGTACGCGAGTCGATATTAGATCGTAGTGGCTCCAGCCCGCTTTTTCTGTTATGCTGTTATGTTGTTGTTGTGGTTTGTGCTGCGCGCCTGT